TTTTATTTAATCATATCTATTGCATTGATCATCTTGTTGGCATTAGTGAGCACCTTGAGTGCCGTGGCTTGCGGACCGCCGTAGATAACGTGGGTGAGTTCGCGAACATCAAAGGGAGCGTTCTCCCTCTCCCGCGCGATGGTCCTCATCTCCTCATTCATGTCGTTCACCGTCTTTGTCTTCGCAACGAATCTGAAAACTCAGCCAAACAAATAACCTAAATTACAACCGCTTGTGCAAGTGCTTGGCCAATTGATGGCTGGCCGTTGGTCTGCTGTGATGTTGCGGCTGAGCAGCGGCCGCCGCTCCGTGGTTGTACGTCTGCGCTCGTCCTCCTTCTCCTCGTCCAGTTCGCCAGCACGTTTGAAGGACTGGAGCGAGGACGGCGCACACTTCGTCGAGTCTCGCACTGGGCCGGGCTCTGATGACGTTCTGGCCCGCGGATGGTGGCGGAAAGAGCCTCCGCGCCTGCCCCGTCCCGTTGTGGGTGAGCGCAGACCAAAGGGAAGAGGAATCATTGGTTGAGTTAGGTACCTCTTCCACTGACGGTTCTTCTTCTGGAGCCTGGGCCGAGTCCTCAGCGACCTTTGAAGGGCAGAAACAACTCACAGACTTGCTGTAGATCAGCATCGCGATCTCGTGCATGGCACAGGCAAACGCCGCCGCTCCGCCCAGAGTGCCTGACAATTCGATGATGATGTGTGAGTGAATAGAGTCCAAATTGAGGCAGGAGAGCCCACTCACCCACAAGTGTGAGCCAGTCGTAGGAGACCACTTGCGAGTTACTCGAAACCGCAAATGACGAATAGGAGAAGGTGATCACCATTCCATTCTGTGGCACATCTGTGGGTTTGATAAGGGAAACAGAACAGGAATAGATAGGACTGAACGCGGAGAGCGTAACGCACCGCCTGCGACAGAAGACGATGTGGAGGCGTCGAAGGAGACGGCTGAAGCTCCGTTGAGGTAGTTGTCCTGCTCCTGGGTCAGCACGGCCCAGTAGGAGGTGTCCGTCACCGCCAAGAAATTGGGAGAGTCAGAGGAAGTAGCCTGGTGGTCCACGGGACACTGCCGGGACGGTAGGTGGGAAAAAGATAGCTGTTTTCCACCTTTCACAAGACGGGAAAAACCACCAAAAGCCAGCACATTGAGGTCACCTTTTTCCACCTTGAGTAGGTCGAATGGTTGTATTGAAAAAGGTG